AACAACTACGTATGTGATAATGATAATAATCTAGAAGGCATAGAAAAATAGATGCTCCTACGAGAGGGATTAAGAACCTGGACGGACTGAAGAGTTGGGCAGGGAGGAAGCTGATAAGGTTCAACAAAAGCAAGTGTAGAGTCTTGTACCTAGAGAGGAATAACTGCATACATCAGTACAGGTTAGGGGCTGACCTGCTGGAGATGAGCTCTGTGGAGGATTTGGGTGTCCTGGTGGGCAACAGTTTGGCTATGAGCCAGTGGTGTGCTCTTGTGGCCAAGAAGGCCAGTGGTATTGTGGGGTGTATCAAAAAAGACTGTGGCTAGAGGGTGAGGGAGGTGATCCTCCCCCTCTACTGTGTTCAATTCTGGGCTCTGTGGTTACAGAAAAGACAGGGATCTCCTAGAAGGAACCCAGCAAAGGGCCACAAAGATGATTAGGGGCCTGGAGCATCTCCCTTGCTAGGAAAGGCTGAGTAACCTGGGTTTGTTCAGCCTGGAGAAAAGAAGTCGGGGGGGGGGGGGCTGATAAATGCTTATAAACTTCTAAAGGGAGGTGGGAGCCAAATGGATGAAACAGGCTCTTCTTAGTGGTGTGTAGCATTAGGACAAGCAGTAATAGCCTAAAACTTGAACATAGGAAGCTTGTGCTAATGTGAGTAAGAGCTTCTTTATAGTAAATGTAATGGAGCTTTGGAACAGAGTGCCCAGAGAGGTTGTGGAGTCTCCTTCTACAGAAATATACACCACTATGAGGTGATACAAGTATATCTTCAGACTCTCAGGCTGCCTAGGGGTTTCATTCAGGGCTTTGCCAACGAGCAGGGTGTAGTTAAGTTTTTATTAAGAGGTGCATTCTGAAGCCAGAAGCACTGTGCTCAGTACAGTCCTCGGTACATTTAATACCCCGTGTTTCCCCTAATGAGAGCTCAAAGGGCTTCTATAAAAATATAATTGATCAGGCTTTTCTATCCACAGCTCAGACATGTCATTCAACACACTATTCTGCTTTGGTATTACTACCAACAAGGACAACTTTATTTAGTCAATGCTCACATAGGGAAGGGCAGGAAACTGTCAATTTCTTTTCTGAGAAAGTTAAACAATCTCCACATAGTCTCTGATTTCAGTGTTATGCTCTCATTAATTAGATTTATTATGTATCTGAATACAGAATCAAGTTCTGATTTGGATTTAATTTAGTTTCAAAGTATTTCTTTATTTTCCAATTAAAAATTTGTTCTTTGGTGGGGTTTCTACCAAAATAACATATTGGTTTTATCTATTGCACAAAAAGGATTGAATTACATTGTTCTCCAGGCTTCACCTGAGTTTAAATGCTTAAAATTAAGTGCTTAAGTGTTTTGTGAGATGGGGCCCTCTGGTCTCACAGAACTGAATAGGAGACATGTAGGGGTTTTTTCTATTTTAAGGAAAGGTGACTGTGAAGGTGTGAAATGTTATGAAAGTGCTTGGAGCCTATTCCTGACCAGGAACTCACTCTAGGTAATTTTGGAGACTTAAAGTTACAAAGGGAAAAGCAAAGATTTATACAAACAGAGAAAGTGCATGCATTGTTTTTTTTAATGTTTCTCCTTTCAAATCTGATTTCAAAAGTTAGAAATGAATAACTGGTTTCTAGGCACTTGCATGAGTAATTCAGAGGTAGCTCCTGTGCATCATCATACTGGTGCTATATCCATGGCACCAGGAGCTCTGTTATAGGAAGCCTTCAGCATGCTGTTTGCTATGCTAAGCAGGTTGGTAGGTTACCTTTGCCTTAGGAGCCTCAGCAGTGTTAGGAGCTGCATGGATTTAGTACCTGATGACAACACTATGATCTGTTGTTACCTGTTGTCACCAGTCTCTTGTAAGATCCAAATTCCTATTGGGTATTTTCTGATTCAGACTATGCCCTTTCCTATGACCCTTTGCAGGTAACAAATTAAGGTGGGAAAAGGAATAGAGAGTAGATAAGGCTAAGGGACCACACAGTGCCCCTCATGTGGGGACCCTTTTCTTGAGGTCTTTCCTTTGGAGCTGAGCCACAGAAGATGCTGGTTTGTCCCATGAAGGCTGCTTCTTCATCTGCTATGGCACCAGCACATCCTTGAAGTGCAGGCTAGTGGGCCAGGTCTTATATGCAGGGGAGAAAACTTTCATCTTTTCTCATTGCTTTTTTTTCCTCAGAATGATGGAGGTGCAACTTGCCATGCAGACATTTGTGGTTCTTCTTCATGAGTTCTAGTGCTGGGTGCCATCTGCCTTGGCCTCAGTCACTGCTTTCCCCTCATACACTTTGTCATAAGTCTTAACCTTAGAGGACATTACTGGATTTCCTTGCATTCTGCTTCAAAGGTATTTTACTTACATCACATTTGAGTGACAATTTATCATTTTGACTCTCTCCTCTGTCTTCTTCCTTTTTCTATTTTTTTTTTAATTTGGCATTTTTCTCAAATGACTCTTGTTTAAATGTGAAGAGGTTGTTTTCATATTTCTGTGTTTATATTTTCACCATATGTTTATTTTGCTGCAGAACACTCCAAATGACTTGGCAGAAGAAGTGGCAGCTTTATAAATAAAGCCATTATTGTGATTTTTTTTTTTCCAATTTTCAACTGTCAGTGTATTTTTATGTGACTTTATGTGATTCGAGAGATGCAAACAGGAAAAAAATCCCAAGCCACACTTGTTCAAATAAGTATTACCTTGTTTACCCTTATTATCAGCAAGGAAGTTCTGGTCTTAGCTCCATGCAAGCTGGCTCTTATATCTGACACCATAAGCTTTCCAAATTTATCCTGCTTTTTTCAGGTAACTGTACTCAAATATTGTGACTTTCTTTAAGAATATAGTCCATCATTATTTTTCCCTTTTGAACTGAAGTGATTTTAATGACAAGAGTTTTACTGGGAAGGCAGATTCTCCATTATTTGAATGGCTTGTATTTCTCCCTCCCTGTGTCCTCTATCTACCGTGTCTCTCACCTCCCACCTAAGGCTGTTCTGGTGCAGCAAACACTCTCTGCAATGACATGTTTCCAATGCATTTTACCCCCTATCCAACACACTCAACTCAGCCATATTTTTGCAACTGATCTCAATGAGCAAAAAAAGAATTAATCTTCTAAATTTATGAGTTATAAAGGTACAGAATTCCTTTAGGACCTTCATTCTAGCATTCTCCAGCTAGTGCTGGGAAAGTCTGCAGTGGTACAGTAGTAGGCATCATACGCACTGCAATTCATTTCAGTAGTATAACTTCTCAATACATCCACATTGTTGTAATAGTGAAAAAAGAGAGAAATGCACAGCTAGGAAAGAGCAGCCAAATCATGTGATGTAGATTTTGTAATGAGCATTGTATTCTGTATCCATCAGATTTATGTTCATAAAAGCCCAGTGCTATGTTAGAGATGAGTAGAACCTTTAAGTAGTGTCTTAGCATGAATACTCACTGTTTAAGCAGAAAAGTTCTTTCTGTTGACATTTTGTTCTCAAATACTTTGATAGGTTTTGAGTCCCTATGGGAATATAAAGTCCTTTGCAATGATCCTCCCAAAAACCTTCAAAAAGGAAATTCAGCACAAATATTTGCCATTGTGAGTTTACTACTGCGTGACTTTGAATCTTCAATTGCAGTACCTGTGTGCTTCTGGTGGTAGCCCAGTCTGTGAACTCACTTTTTTACTTTCTGCCTGAAGCTTTCCATTTGCTTTTAGAGCTGCTCCCTGGGAGAGGCTTTTGTGGTAATAAAAGGCTGTCGTCTTGTAAGATTTTTGTTGCCTTGACCTCTTGCAGTGATTTGTTTGAGATGTCTGAGGAGGACAAAAATGAGGCAGTAGTAATTATACCTTTTCTTCGGAATTACTCTATAAAAAGCTCCAAAGCTTAAAACAAACTTACCTATGGCTACTCTGATGCAGTTGAACACAGTTTTCCACACAGTTTTCCACTCAATGAGGGACAGCTGGCCACATCTGAGTCTTTCTTAAGAGCCAGACTGGAATAATATTACTTGTTGAGCAAGAACCAGAGCTGGAATTGTTCTGCAAAGAGCCAAAGAAACTGTAGGTGCTGGTAAGCCAGTGGGAACGTTACCAGCAACAGTATGCCAATGTAGTTTCAACCCCATAAATTATTTTACAGTGGCAATAGGTCTGTGAGAGTGTTTATGTTTGCTGTCTGATGTCCCTCTATTTCATTTTTATCATGTGTGATGGATGGAATGTTTTTATTCAGCAGAGAGCTTTTGGGACAACTTGCCTCTAGATAAGGACTTGGTAAGCCAAGGAGCAGTGGTTGTCCTTTGCGAGCAGCAGCCAGGAGGGCTTGGGGTGAAAAATGCCTGGTTCTTTTCTCAAGCACTGATTGAAACTTGTTGATGCAGGAGAAAATGAGAAAACTGAAGGAAAATGCCTACCAGTCCATTTTCTTGCTATAGAGCTTGTTTGTTTTCTGAGAAGGAAAACTGGAACACTCCAACCCATTCCACAATAAGGGTTCAATATCCTTCACATATCCGTCTCTTCTGATCTAGCTTTAGATCATACAATAGATACCAACCCCAAGCTCTTCTACTGCTAGCAGACTTCCTATGTAAAAAAGCCATTCATAGACTTCGCAGTGCTGCTAGCTGTGGCCCAGCTGGGAGCAACATCCATCTAAGCAGTTCAAAAGAGATGGCTCAACAAAGATGACTCTGCGGTCCTGATAGCCCATGGTTATAACCTCAGATGGATTTTCTCATTCTGCAACCTTCCACAGAGACCCTAAAGCATAATGCATGACATGAAGGGCTTTAGGTCTATAGTGGGAATACTAAGTCATGGCCTGAAACAGCAGTTCAGCTCCTGATAGGAAGGCAGGGGCCAACCCAAAGGAGCTCAGGTGTATGCAATGCACCTGAATGACTGGAAGGGGTGCAGACAGGATCCACCCCTCCCCAGACCTCATTTAAGGGTTCGCAGTGGAGACGAGGACATCTTTTGCCAGAGATCCCTGCCTATCTGAGGCCTTCCAAGAGTAAGTAGCTCTTTTTTCCTTCATTTCTATCAGTGGTTGCTGCATTTGGGCTCACTCTTGTTTGCTGTAGCTGAAGACTTTGTCACTCTGCTATTATCATCTCATTATAGCATTACTAGGTCTTACTATAGGTCTTCCAAAATGGCTATATAGTTGTCTATGAGATACATTTAACACATTTTTAGTAATAAAAAGAATTATTTATTGAAGAAAAACCTTAATCATATGGCTCCAAGAAGTTATGTCCCATCATATATATATCATATATGCCCCATCAGTGTAGTTGTACAGAAGATCATAATGGGAAGTTCTGAATTGTTTTGCTAGAGAAATACGTAATGAAGTATTTGGTTACTAAAATAATGCATTCCTTTGGAGCTACATTAGGTAACCAAAAAGGTCTCAGGAAAGGAAAAACTACACGGGGAATTAGTTTTTATTTTATAGTCAATTCATATGCTGAGGATTCTTAGCTTATTCTGTAAGACAAGAATCAGTAAGTGACAGGCTTTAAAGTGTCACGCTTTTTAGTGAATATTTTGTCTTTTAACACAAAATAACTTGAATACTGATTAATTTTTTGTTTTAGAAGGATGCTTTTATAATGAGCAGACGTGAAATTTAACAAGGAGAAACCATTTTCTGCAAAAATTGTATTTCATTTTATGATGTTCATTTGATTGTTTTCAACCCTCAAGTTCTAGGAGATCTCTTCTTCTGTAGTAAAAATGCAGGTCCCAACACTGAGTGTCTCCAAGCCCCACACTTGAAAAATCACACCCATGATCTCTCCAAGCTCTGGAAACCCTTAGGATCTGAAAATGAAACAACTCTGAGGCCATGAAAGTGAAATTCCACCCACCTGTATGAAATCATAGTAACCAATTTTTTCCTGGGTGAGGTATGGCAGGAGAGAGGGAGAAACAATCTGGGCTACAGAAGTGTGAGGTCAGTCAGAAAGTCCTACCCAGTCCTTCTTCCTCCTTCTCTTGCAGCTGCTACTTTTTCTGGACTATTGACAGTATCAGCAACTGCAGTTCTTCAAAAAGTGCAAAGCCAGAGCTCCTGGTACTGCAGACAGTTCACAGTTAGGAGCTCCTCCTCTGTCCCAGTGTGGTCTCTGTTGCAACCTTCCTTTTTGACTTCAATTTTCCTGTACAGCTGTCCCCCACGATCTTTTTCATTTATCCCTGTCTTTAGACTTGCTTGGTATTAGCTGCCTGATTAATTGAGCCACATGGGTCCTAATACAGGGTTGCTCAGGATAACAGGAACTTGGCCAATTAATTTGTGATTTGAAGTGGTTTCAAGCAAGTTTATATATGGAATGGCAAAACAACAGCTAGCTAACATGGAAAATCTGTGACTGATGTTTCCCAAATCTGGGGAGATTAACCAGTAATAAGGCATACTGGGCTCACTCTCATTTGCTGTCTAAAATAGCCTCCAACTACCAGAACAGTACACATCGGTAGCTTAAAAACTGAACACCAGCAGCACATAAGCCAGAGGTGCTAGCAGAAGTTACTCAAACTAATAGAGATTGGTTTATGAGTAAAACAGCTTAATGTCTTTATCAAAAGGCATCATAAGCTGTAACCGACTGTTGCCATTGCCAACACTGACTGTTGCACTGCAAACACTTTAATTAAAACGCTAAGATTATTTTTTATCCATCTGCAAGTGCATGGTTTTCAAGTTATGTATAAACTTTTGAGAGCTGTCAGAAGTACAAATGTTATCTCTGCTTTTAGACAGAGATTACACCAGAGCCAAGCAAAAAAATGAATAAATACAGGTGCATAAATCAGATTTTGGAATGCAGACTGGATGAGATTTGGGAAGGCTACATCCAATGGTGAAACCCTACAGAAAGAAAATCAGAGTTTTGGGATGGAGCGGGTTGTACTGTATGGTCAGTCTCCATCAGCAGGACGGCTGCTCCTGAAGTGTTCACAGCTGTGCTGTGTAGAATATGTGAATGTAATCAGAGAATGAAACAAGTGGGGAGAAAGAAGTAGGCTTTATACTTGCCCCAGATTAATAGCAACCTTAGGAAGCTGTATTAAAAACTGGCCAGCCTTTAGGCCAAATAAACTAACAGTGTGGTATGATGAAATTGGCTCCTTGGAACAAAGTAACTAGATTTGTGTATGTTGGCAGGAAAAAGATCTCTAAAACTTCTCCTAGACTATTATTCTTGCATCTCTGAGGTGGCCTTGTATGAAGAAACTGTACAGGTGATTGTGCATGCCCAGTTTGGTTTTGCCATGTGTACTGTACTTGATGTGGAAATATTTGAAAATATCTAGGGGGAACAGGATGAGATTTCTATGACCCCCATGCTACAGGTTCCTGGGTGGGACCACGACTGGAACTGTAAGATGGCCGTGAAAAGAGTTGTCAAATGCTGATCATTGTTTCATCCCTTGAAGATGGAATGAAGCTTGAAAGCCATGTCCACAGCGATGAGGGAGAGCTGCTTCGCTCTGATCATCAGTGTCACTTATTGAAAGGTTTGATCTGGACAAAGGAATCCTGGCTGTGTGGTAGAAAGATCAGGAGGTCAGAGCCATCCCTAGGGCCACTGCCATTTAATGGACTCATCTGTTACAACTGATGGTGATCTTCATAGATTTGCATTACAGATTTAAGTAAGAAAAGGTTAGTAGTATGAGAGATGAATTAAGTGAAAGGTTTTACACTTAAATTATGTATTTTAACAAGAGAAATACAAATATAGATATCCTGTGATAGTGAAGGAATGGTTATTAATCATTAATAAAAATACCTTGCATGCTAAAAGATCATTAATATCAATAGCTTTTTTCTATTTTGTTAGCAGTAAGATTTAAACTGAAGCTTTTCCAGCTTCAGGCTATGAAATAAATGGATTCATGAAAGCAGAGTCCTGCTACCTACTCTAGAGTTTGTCAATACTGACTGTTCGGTCTTGGACTGAAAGCTATTCATCAATTCTTCTCTAACAGCAGTGTTTCAAAGTGCAGGGACCTGCCTCTCAGCTGCACTGTCTTCTCAGCTGTACCCTGTTAGACAAAGAGGCTCAAGTCCTAGAGGGCAATTTTTTTAGGTATGTAGCAGACCTTTCCACCTGAGGGCATATTTCCTGCTCTGCTGTCTCTGATGTAGACTGTGCTTCAGAGAGCCCTGGATGAAGGCTGCATTTAGAATATTTTCTAGCTGTGTTCTCAGTGTTTCAGCTTTCACATACAGCCTCTGACTGAGATGGAGCAATCTGTTATTCAGGTAATAATTGAATTTGAATTCTTTCCACAGAAGAAATGTTTTGGTTGTGGCAAAGTTGGAGGGTTTTTTCTGATTTTTCAGAAAAAATGACAAAGCCATCACTTTTCTCCCCATATCTTCTTTTCTGATTAGTCTTGCTGCAGATCGAGATTGTCTTGCCTTTACACCTAGCCCAAAGGATGAGGCCAGTCTCTTTGGCAGTGTGGCCTTGCATCCATCTCCAGACACGCATCCACCCCTCCATGTGTGCATCTATCCATGCACTGTGGCTGCAGCCATTGCTCTCACCCTGGCATTTTATAGCAGATTGTCCCAATTGCTCTGGGCTCTCCTTAACACAGGCTCCCTGAGACAGTGTCTGAATACTGCTCTGAGTGCCTTCAAACAGCACATTTGCTTTTAAGAAACAACTCTTTTCTCTCAAAGTGCCTTTGGGAGATTAAGTGTGAAATGGGCATTTATATGGTCCTTGTCTATTATAGATTTTATCTGCCTTCTAAGTTTCCCTCCCCTGTTTGCTAATGGAAGTCAAATTGTTAAATCCATGGTGCTAAACTTAATGTAATTATCTCTATTCCGATGCTTTCTTCATAACGGGTAATAACTGTGTGCTGTGTAGATAGACGTTCCCATAGTACTGTCACAAAAGTGTGGGGGTATGGAATAGCTCACAGGTTACTGAAGGCTGAATTTCCAACTTTGTATTGTAGCAAGAAATCAAACTACAGATTTGTATTATTTACTCCTTTTTATGAGCTTAAATCTTTTCTTTTACGTTTTTGATGGGGTAATTAACAAAAATTGCAGCAAAGGACAGTTTCACAGGTGATGCATCACTGTATGACGTGTACAATGCTAATACTCAGTAGACACTGAACAGGAACATTTCACAAAGCTGATACCACCAGAGGTGTTCAGGGGAAGGATAATGGTGGTTGGTCCTGTTCTCGAGGGGATCGTAGTGAACTGAGGTTCTGTGCTTCACAAAACTATAGACTAAATATCTAGGTACCTACATATTTAGGACAAATTGCAAAAACTGTAATTTAACCTGTTAACTAGAATACCATAACTGTACAATAATTGTCTGTCACAGAAAAAAAATCCAGCCTGGCATAATTTGAAGTCTTTTAGTGTGTGCATCCCTTCCTTTGCCTTTCTCCTGGCTTGGCTTCTAGTCTGGTAGATGAGCTGATATGTCACTTACAATGTTTCTTCATTTCTTTGGTTCTGAAGTAAGCTTCTCATACTTTATCTTCTTGAAACGTACTGCTAAAAAGGTCTACACAGATGTAAGCATTCATCTAATAAGCATTGCTCATCCAATTTGCATAAATAAAAATAACTATTCATACTTTATGGTTTATGAAGATTCCCGCTTCAGTCGAACTCAAGTATTGTGGAAAAAAAATGCAGCAAATATATGTAAAGGATTCTTTTCCCCCTTAATTTGAACCATACTTTGTGAAATGGTGGAAGAGTTTCTGGGCTGAATTTTGTATACCAAAGCGAAGTCTGGAAAACAGTTGTTAACATTTTACAGCTGAATTATGCACTCCTGAAATGTGTGGGCTTTCCACAAGTTCACGGGGAGAGCACGCCCTCCTTTTAATTTGCTGTGTGTGATGCTGGCTTTACTAAGCTCAAACACTTTTTTTTTTTAAAGTTGTAAATGGTGCAAGGTCTGTGCCTGTTTCCCTATAGCTGTACTTCTCAAGATTTATTTTTTCACTGAGATTTCTTTTTCAGTTCTGAAAACATAATGTAGCTTCCAGTTTTAAACTTGCTAAAAGTAGAACTTCAACATGATATTTAGGGGGGAAAAATAACACCTTAAAGGAGATCTGCACAGGACTTAGGAGTTTAAATTTCTTTAGCCTCCCAAGGGATGCTCTGGAGGGTTTACATATTTGCCAAATATATTTCTACATAGAGAACTACTGTCACATCTGTCTAAAAAAACAAACAAAAACTACTGTCACAATTGTGTTCTGAGGAGACTGAGACTAAGCCTGATGCAGAATGGAAACTGAGTGCTTTGAATGCAAATATTGTTATTCAACATCTAATGAAATCTTCAACCTCTCCATGTGGACGTAACCTAAGTTGTTTGGTTATACGTTTTCCCATTGGCCAACAGTCGTTAGAAAGAAGTAAAATAGCATGACGACTTCTTTGATAAGCGTATGGTCTATAAAGTCTTCAGGGAGCTGACAAATGGGTTTTTTTTTAGGTCTTGTATCAAAGCATTTGAGAGATATTTGGATTTAAATTGTGCTTTAGTGATGTAGGAGCTGAGGAACCAGGCCAGCCTGAAGATGGATTTCTGATGTCATTGTCCAGCAGTGCTTCACACAGCATTGATGAACTTTGGAGTCCTGTGGCCCCTCAAGCAGGTGTGTTGGTGAAGGCTGGGAAAAATGGTGAAATGATATAATAAGGCATAATTTAAATGTAATGTGTTAATGGAATCAATGAAACATAACAGTGTTGGGTAATTCTTAAAGAAAAAAGGGATACGCTCTCTACAGACAGCACTACAGAATTGTTTCTACCTACCCTGTGAGTGCCATTTCTGCCCGTATTACTGTTCTATGTTCTACATTGCTGCGGTTTTTATTTTATTTGGGAACTTTTGGCTCATTGCAATGAGATGTGTAAGCTCTATGGCAACGAGAGAGGTAGAGAGGTGGCAAATTCGTAAGAAAATCAAGTGATCAAGAGGAAAGAGCAATTTCATTCATGCTGCTTAGCAGTCTCTGCAGAGCACGATTTAACTTTGCTTAACATTTAACAAGAGCTTCATTTACGTAAAAAATGATGCAACTGAGGTGCCAGAGCTCCTAATAAAAATCCCTGAGGCTTCTTAAAGGCTTGTGGCAAAATTAAGGAGCATTAATTTCAGCTTCCTTGGTATTTCTGAGAGAAGTGTCTTTGACTGTAGGAAAAACTGAAAATTATTATTTAGAAGAAAATGCCTCATTCTATTGAAAATAATTTCTGTGAATGTTTTTATGCTTCTTTTGAAAATATAAAAATTTCCATTAAAAATGTGTGAAGTGAAAGAAATATATCCAGTTTTCAGGAAGTTCAGCTAGAAAAATTCTGGCATCCTCAAGAAAAGCACCATTTTGCTTTAATTAAGAACTTGAATTAAGAACTAAAAATGAAATGCATGTACACAGAAATCATAAGCGTTAACACAGGCACACAAGTGAGGGGATGCTGAGTGCATGTGGGGGTCTCCACAGCAGAGGTGCTTCAAAGTAGAGTGGGATACTGTGGCAAGAAGCCCAGGGCTCACCTAGATGTGGGGTTACCATGTCTCTGAGAACAGACCCCCATTTGGATGGGGCTGCCCAAACGTCTCTGCTAGAGAAATGAAAAGCTGAAAGAGACTTCGGAGAGTAAAACAAAGTAGAAAACCTCTAAGTGTACAGATAGTCATACGTGTTTGCCTCAGACTGAAATAAGGCATGCTAATGAACACTGCATCCTTTCCTTTTGGTGTGACCTTTCATAAGCTCCTTGCAGCACCTACCCTTTTAATTAAAGAATGTCTTTAATTTCTCAGAAAACTTCAATGATAGTGTTGAACTGCAAATGTGCTTGAATAACTATTCATATATCAACAGATAATTAAGCATTGATCTGTTCTCAAAAATATAACAGCATTTGGCAGTGGGTTGGACTAGATAATCATAGTGGTCTTTTCCAACCTTCATGATTGTATAAATCTATGATTTCTGGCTTGTTCTTTTTTTTAGAAACCATAATGGACAGGATTTTATTAAACTATGAGCTAGTGCAAGATACTTAAAAAAAAATCATGTGAAGAGTACATCTGCAGAATTATGTTGAATCATAGAATGTCTTGGGTTGGAGGGGACCTCAAGGATCATCAAGCTCCAACCCCCTGCTGCATGCAGGGCCACCACTCTCCATATATATTATCAGGCTGCCCAGGGCCCCATCCAACCTGGCCTTAAACACCTCAGGGACAGGGCAGCCACAGCCTCTCTGGGCAGCTGTTCCAGCACCTCACCACTTTCTGTGAACAGAACTTTCCCCTAGCATCCAACCTAAATTTTCATCCCTTCAACTTAAAAACCATTTCCCCTTGTTCTGCCATTATCTACCCTTACAAAGAGTTGGGTTCCCTTCTCTTTATAGGCTCCTTTTAGGTACTGGAAGGCTTCAGTGAGGTCACCCCATAGCTTTCTTTTCTCCAAGCAAGCCCAGTAATGGCACAACATGGATTGCAGTATCTCCACCATGTTCAACTGATAAAATAGTTTTAAGGGAGTTTTGTCATGCAGATCCATCAAAGTGCAGCTAAGGATTGCAATAAATATCCTCTGTCTTGCTGAGAGATTGGTCATAGTAGAAACTCCTGGGTGCCACTGGCTGCCTCCATACATTTCGGCCCCTTGTGGCCAAAAGGTGATAAAGCTAGTCTTGTGCAGTGAGCCAACAGCCATCATCCTACAATGCAATTACAGTGATTAGACTTCTTTCCCTGTCAACAAGAGGCAGAGAAAAGGAGTCTCTAAGCAGATGGGAATTTCCTTAATCCCATTATGTGAAGCTCCCTTTTTTCCTCAAAAACCATGGTATCCCAAGTGGGATTTTGTAAGCATCTCAAAGCTTGTTAGTGGATTTTTTTTCCCCCAGTTTGTTCCTGCAAAATAAAGCTGAAGAGTCGCACACAGAGAGAGGCAGGGCAGCTGGACAGGAGGCACGGCAGGAAGCCTCGTAAATGCTTCCAAACTGAGCTAAGGCGGTAATCCTCCCTTTCGTTCAGAAATCCTCACAGGATAAGCATTGCTGCCTTGAGGGGAAAAGAAGGAAAACTTTTTCTTCCTGTGAATACTTAAGCAGAAGGGAAATTTCACAGAGGAAAATGATTGTCATAAAGGTCATAAATCTTCAAGGAGCTTAGTAACACAAAGTGTCTGGAGTTAAACAATCTTTAAATATCACCTTAGAGAAACTGAAGGTCCCAATCCCCAGCCTTCCTCCTCTTCAGGATAACTTCCCTCTGACACAAAGAGAAAAATGTGGGAATCATTACCTTCTTGCATCATTGCAAAGCAAAACTACTCCATGACATTCGGAGGTCTGGCCACACAGGCACAGAGCAATCCCGTGAGTAGTTCTGGGCGCATATAAATCCCGTAAGCCCATGCTCTATCGGCACAGGCTGTACAGGTTAGAGCTTTCCAACCACCTCTGTTCCCACTATTGACTGATGAGTCTTTAAACTGCTTTCTCTATTTTGACAAGCTTGTTTTTTAATGATCTAGCTATTTATGGCAATTTGTTCAATAGTTAGAAATTAAATTAGGAATAGCGTGAAGTAAACAAATGGAACTTGAAAACTTACTTTGGGTTGCTTTTCTTTCCTCCCTCCTGCCTGCTTCAGTCATCCAAAGTTTTACGCTGCAACTGAATTACCAGGAAGAGTATTAGTGGTCCTGCAAGGACATCCTGACTCCATATGGATGAATTTGCCACTGCTTGCAAGGTCTCCTTGAAAAGAAGAGAAAGAGCAGTCAGCACCAGCTCAGAGCCTCCTTTTATGCTGAAATGTCTTCAGCCTGAGCAGCAGGAAAAGGATCAAATGAGTTGATCTCAAATCTCTTCCAACTGCTCCTGATGGAACCCGGGTTGGAAAGGATGGTCATACAAAATTGGGAAGGCATCTAACATGATTCATGAAGTGAGATATCCCAGGCCTTTGGTGGTGCTGAAAGAAACACTTCTCATGCAGTTGGGGTGTGCCAGTAGTAGAAAAAAAATGTTTTCATTGTCAGGAGTAATGGACATCGCTGTAATTGACTGTCACAAATCCTATAGGCTGCAAAAGGCAATGACAATCTCTCTCTTGTATTTCCAAGTTGCACGGGAACCCCCAGACAAACCACTGCTGCCTTCTGTGGTAGATATTTTGCATTCTCAGGACCGAGATTGTTCCTCCTTTGGGTTGATCTGCTCCAGCTAGATCTGCATGTGTCTGCAGAACTGCCATGGAGGGGAAGGATGAGGACAGTCGGACTGCCTTCCAGACTTTACTTCCAGAGACAAGAGCTGATGCTGTGAGCAACGCAGTAATTCCACACATCTGGAAGCAGAGGAAGCGAGCTTAGACCTCTGTATTTTGTAGTATCCATGGAAATTTCCTGTGGGAATCTGTTCCGCTGCTGAACTGCTCCAAATAACAGAGTAGATGCTTCTCTGAGGAAATTAAAGATACATCACATATAGTTCAAAGGTCTGTCCAAAGTCTGGTTCTAGTTTTTTCTTTAACGTTCGTATGCTTTAAAAGCAAGTAGCCTTATTAAACGCACAGATGACACCAGGCTTGGAGAAATGGCAAGAGCGATGGAGTGCAGGACTTGAAGTCTGAATGATCTTGCCAAATTGAGTAGTGTTCTGGTAAGAAAAAAAGGTCAACTTCAGTAAAGACGAGGTGACAAGGTACTTAGTGAGAACAAGTAGCCAAATGCGGGACAGAGCATGACTAGCTGGCTAGTATCTTCTAGAGAGATCATAGAGAATCCCAAGCCAAACCTAAGTTACTGACCAGGAGTGCTATCTCCTGAGCTGTATAAGAAAAGTCGTGCCTACAAAACAAAAATACTGATTTTATTATCACATTAGTGAGTCCTTGGCAGGAGGATCAATTACACCTGATATGGGGCAGCAGAGGGGAGTTGCTGCATTCTGAACTTTAGTACACCGACATGCATTCCTGGTGCCTCAGTGTGCCCATTGCCCTGCTGCCCTCCTCAGCTCCTTAGGGCTGCTCCAGTTCTCACTCCTGTCGCAGCCACCAACTGGATTGTGCCTCCGTGCTCCCAAAGGAGGCTCTAGGGACAGGGCAGGAAAGCAGCTGCAGGGTTTTCTGTGTTTCAACCTCACAGCGTGTGTCCCCTATTAAAATATAGAGGCGATACAAGAGCAGGCAATACATCACATGTTTTTAATACAGCACTTGAGATTTGAGGCTTAAATATGGGAAGTCCCATCTTATAAAGGCTATCTGGCAATCCCAGTTGCTTTGAGAAAAATGTGGATGACCTGGAAAAGCTCCAAAGGAGAGCAATAAGAATGATGAGCTGTCCTGGAGGATTGACAGAAATGGGGTTGCTGAGCTGAAAGAAGAGAGCACTGAGGAGGGAGATGGCAATAATTCTATAATGTAAAAATATACTGCTGCAAAGAAGAAGGGAATAATCTGCTCGCCATGCTTATGTTGGATGAAACAAAAATGGGAGTTTTTTATATCACTGAGGAAAATTGAGAGTAGATGTTAGAAAGTGCTTCTGGACAGGCAGGACACTGAAATCGGATTGCCAGGTGAAGGACCTGGGACGTGAAGATATTTGATATTTTTTGCTGTGATGTTGACAACGATGTTTTTTTTAGGTACTGCCTTTCCATGAATCCTTTGTGACACACCTATCAAAGGAAACTGGGGAGATCACCTGGATAGGTATGATAGCTGATGGTCAGACTATATCAATTGCATGCCTTCTGCAGTGTTCATGAACTTCATAGTCCTTATAGGAGTATTTGCTCCATCAAGTTATCAGAGATGTTTAAATTTTGGAAGGTAAATTTTCTTAAGTCTTTGAAGGGTTAGAAATTCCATTCCCACTGAAAATCTTGTCCCTCCATATGGAGGTTCCAAGCTCAATTTGCCAAGAGTTCATGACACTATGATGGGAAACCACCAGCCTGTAAGAACAATATACATTAATCAAGGAAGAACTGCCAAAACTGTGATTAACTTATCATTTTAATTACAATACATGATGAAACATCTATATTAAATAACTTTAGTAATGACTGAGCCTTGCAGTACAAGCTGTAATATGATTTTTCTGTAAGATATTAATTTGTCTTAAGACTTGATTTTTGTCTAACACAGGTAATGATTTTACACGGATATCTTCATAGCACAAAATGAATTATTTCTGGACAGAGATTTGTTTCTGAAATGCTTTTGTATTTTATTGTATTCCTTTTTTAGTATTTGAAGTTATCATTAAAAGGTTATTGAAATTTCTCACTGTTTCCTCGCTTTTTTCTTTTTGAAGCTATACAGATTTTTGCAGGACATAATAAAGGAGAAACTGTTCATAAAATATTTTTTTAATGGTTTTCCATTGTTTTTATTCAGTCAAAAAGGTGAAATCATTGCCCTTGGGGACAGTTTTTTGTTTGCAGCAGCACCCCAAAGACAGTATAAAGATGCATTTAGATAGTCATTGCCCTCAGAAATGTCAAATTATCAAGTTTAACATACTGAGCTACAAATTCCTACCAGCTTTCAAATCCAAAAGGAGCAGCGTGGGAATTACTCTCTATATTACATCTTTAAGCAAGCATTTCCTGTATTTCCTAGGTGATAGAAAAATATAGTGAATTAGAGAGGAAGGAAAAGGGAAAAAAAAACGATAATCAGATGTAGTGGGAAAATTCTAAAAGGTCGTTTCTTGTTTTTGCTCTGTTAGCCTCTGGGCACACTTTTCTCTGTTTCACTGCCCAGCCTTTGCTGGTGTTTTTGAGATAAGGAAAAGTCTCATCCCCTCCATAATGCAGTTCTGTTCCTGGGTGAAGAGAGCACCCAAATCAAAACTTCTCAAGAGGAACAAACATTGTGAGAAGATGCTTTCAACCAAGTCTTCCCCCTTCGATTCTCCTCTCTAATATTAGATTCTTCTTCTGGCACTGACATCTGACAAAAGGAAATAGTTAGGATCAGTTCACAGAATCACAGAATTGTAGGGGTTGGAAGGGACCTCCAGAGATCATCGAGTCCAACCCCCCTGCCAAAGCAAGTTCCCTACAGCAGGTCACACAGGTAGGCATCCAGGCAGGTCTTGAACATCTCCAGAGAAGGAGACTCCACCACCTCCCTGGGCAGTGTGTTCCAGTGCTCCGTCACCTCACTGTAAAGAAGTTCTTGCTCACATTTGTGTTCCCTCATCCTGCTCTGAAGTGCTAGTTCAGCTTTGACTTACGCATGTTTTTACCTCCATAATAGGCTTTACACTCAGCCCAAATTAAATTAGTATTTTAGCTTTGGTTGTTCGTGCATGTATCTGTCACTTAGTCAGCATCTTTATCTTTCTTCCTCTTTTTGGCAGTGTGACCAAGTAACTGAAAAAGTATTTCCCCATGTCTAAGCCATTTTAGATATTTCTTTCAGCATACTTCTCCCAAGTTCCTGCTATAAAGCTTCATCACCAGTACTGCTCAGAGGCACACTCATCGTCCAGGAACAGGATCCACCTCTTCCGTTCTTAGTAGAGGTTCCAGCTCAATATGGTTCATCACAGAACCACAGAGTGGCTTGGGTTGGAAGAGGCTTTAAGGAGCACCCAGTTCCAATCCCCTGTCATGGGCAGGGTTACCACCCACCAGATCAGGTTGTGGGCTCAAACACCTCCATCATCATGATGAATACACCGGCTTCAGATGCATTATGCCACATATATCCCTAGGAAGGAGTGCTATAATCCCTGTGGCAGTGAAAACAGATCAAGCCTCTGAGATGCAGGCATGTCAGAATTCTGAGCATGAACAAGCTACTATAAAATAGCATGCCTTACCTCTGTCCTACCTGCCTGGGAGATGGAGGCTGAGACCAGCTCCTTCATTCCTTTCTTCACCTTGAAACACACTCTACTGTGCCAGCAGCAACATGAAAGGGGGAGTAAGGTGGAAAACAGCAGTGCTGCCACTGCGTTATGTATCCTTTATAATATTTCTTCTTGCTTCTTTCATTTTGATTTGCATATGGAGAAAAAAAGAAAAAAAAGAAAAGAACATTTCTCCACAGTTCAAAAGAGGCAGACCTGTAGCATTTCTCATTTCTTAATGATGAGATAAAACCCTGATCATCTCCATCGAAGGCCGTTACGGGTCTCCAAAGCGCCAGCGATTCAAAAGCTGGGCGCTGCCCTCGGGGTGATGCAGCACCACCATCTGCTGGCCTCCGGCTGCACTGCCGAGCTGCTTCGAGCTCATCGCGGTTGTCGTTCTCACGAAGAGCTGGACTGCAAGAGAGTACGGTCAGAGCTTGTCACATGTGGAATATGCCTGGAAAGGACAGAACAATACAGGAAAATAGATAAATACAAGAGCCTAAAATCTAGTAGAATCATGGGGGACACAAATGAAAAATAGCATGGTATTTTCATGGTCACTATAAGGCTGAATTGATAAATTTCTTAATTTAAAAGGGATATATATATATATATATATATATATTTTTTTTTTTTTGTATGAGCAGTCATTCTATTTCTAGCTTTTTCTAGACACTGTGTGCTCAGATCAGCAGCTCCCTTTCTGAGGAGACTGCAAATAACTCCTTTGCCTGCATCTGTAGCAAACAGAACTTTTATACTGGAATTCTTGTTGACCTGGAAGTGAACACTGTGACATGCCAGCTCTGCTTGTGTTATTGAATCCTTTTGGTCTGATACTGCTTTTAACCAAGTAGATGAGGATTAGTTGAGTGAGCTGGAGTTGAGTGGAAGTGGTAGACAGGATTAACAGGAATGCTGCTGGGCGTGATTATTTGTCACTCAGTAATTAGTGCAGCATCCACACCTCCGTCAGGGGTCCATAAAACTATCCTGTCAGAGCACAGAGTTCCACACCTGCTCAGTATTGGAGTGTGTGCACTGCAAGTGACACCACAGACCAGAGCTCAGAACCATCCTTTCCACAAGCCTGATGCCTTGCACAAAGTGCTCCCTCCATAGGGCCACCTCTTCAGCGCACCCACCGTATCTTGCCAGTGTTGGTGGAGCAATGTAAGATAATAGGTTGCTATGTTCTTTACAAGCCTTTGTTACTGCAGTGTTTCACTTTGCTATATTTCTGCTCTAAGACCATAGATGTTTTTTCATCTTTTACTGCTCAGAGTGCCAGGATCACCTCTGATATTGTAGATAGAATCATAGAATCATAGAATTACTCA